AAGAGTGTTTATTGTTATATGTCAACAGGCCAGTGCTGGCAGGTCCAGGCTCCTGCTGTTGGCTTTATGGCAAAGTACTCTGTTGTATTGCGCTAAAGCTTGATTCCTGGCACAAAAGGGATGTATGAAAGAATGTCTTGCTGGGTTAGCAATTACCAGAACTTTTTATAGTAATGTGTCCAAAATGCTGCTTGTATAGGATTTGTCACTTTTTTTAAGAAAAGGAAAAAAAATAAATATAAAAAAATTATCATAAAACCCAATTTGATGCCATTACATAAGATTTCGTTTAAACTACCTCTCAGCGTGAAAGTAAAACACTAGGTAAGTTTTATAAGGTTTGCTCACTGTCGTGTTATGTTCAAATTATAATGAATGCCAAAACTGCAGAAGTTTATCACCAAAAAGGAAAAAAGTTAGTGTTGGTTTTTTTTATGTGTTTGAAAGTATCCAATAGTTTCAAGTTACTGTAAACTCTGTTGTGTTCTTTTAATGTCTGTAGCTTCAGTTGCAAACTCTAGCTGCTGGACAGGAAATAAATCATAACCACAAGCTTTCATAACCATGGTCTGCTGGGTAGAAACAATTTGGTATGCAGCTTTGTCATTTGGCTATAGATAACCTCATTCAGCAAATGTACCATTAATTTAGTCCTCTTTTTTTTTGTTTTTCCTTCAGTACTCGAGATGTGAACTTGATGAATGTGAGTCTGTAATGGATGCGTGCCACAAATTGCATTGTCTTGTTTGCCTCTTTTTGAATTTTAATGATTGGTTTATTACCTACTGCAGATGTGAATGTTGCACATACAACTTAATTTCTGTATAGCTGTATAAAATATAAATGGAAAAATTTGTAAGTTCTTACCCAGTATTTAGAGGTAATGTATGATACTAGCCTTATGTTGAAGTTTTACCTACAGAGTACTGCACTTCTTTTAAACTGGATCATACCATCTTGGTAGGTGTAGATAGATAGATATATATATATTTTTTTGCATGAGTGTGTTTTTGTTCTGTTTCCTTTTTACTGAAGTTCAGTTCTCTGAAGTTCTATTTGCAGTGTTTGTATTTACTACTTGTGATCATGTAGTTGTGCCTTACATTGTGAAATAATTTAGTCCAGTGTGCACTGTAATTCTAAACTGCGATTTGGAAGGTGGCTGTGGATTTGGATGAGAAAATGACACCATGCATCAACCAGTTCTGTATAAACTATGATTAAATGTTACTGAAATGTCATTTTTTCTTTTCTAACCTGTTAAAAGAATGATTAATGACAATAAAAAAATAAAATAGACCTTTCTAATAGACCAGTTCTCTCACTCAAATCTGCTTTGCCCCACTTCAGACAGCAAAGCTACTTAGAAATGAGGGGTATGATCTTAAAAATGAACTGTTGGGAAGCCACAGGTATAAGTACAAACTAAACACTCCAATTAGACTTGTGAGGAGCTGCAACAAAAGCTTTCACTTTCCTGAGGAGGCAGTTATAATGAATTTTTTCAAATCCATTTTGTCATAAGTTAAATTCAGAGTACTTTTTCCATTCCAAATAACTGCACAAGACTGCTGGGTATCCCCCATTCAGTTAAAATCTCCCTGTCACTGACAGTGTTCAGACATCGCATTCAATGGCATAACTGGAAGACTCAGAAGTAGCACTTGTTTAATTTTTTGACTAATTCATTAAGGGCTCGCCTGTGAGATTGAAACCTCATTCAGGGTGGAACAGTGTTGCAGAGAGAAGCCAGGTGATGAGTAAGTGTGAGATCAGCCCTGTGACAAAGCCACTATTGAATTGTGAGGGCCTTTGCAAAAAACTGTTCAGCTAGTGAAGCAGATCTTCTTAGGGGCTCTGTGTAGACAGTGGGAAAAATAGACAGAAGAGGTCAGTTTAAGTTGGGAGGTCAGTTTCTGACTTGACTGCTTTCTGAGGTGTCTTTTCTCCAGTTGATTTTACATCAAAAGACAGCCTCTGTATGACTACTTCCTTCCCCTGGGGTGTACTCCTTGGAGATGTGCAGGCCTCCAGCAAGTACTGAATCTCTGTGACTACTTATTTGTCTGGTAGACTACAGGCCTGGCTTAAGGTCATTTTGGCAAAAAATACACAGAGGAATAAAACACCCCCTTCTGCCATGACGCGAAGCACAGAACTTATCTGTCAGGTGTGAATTTCTGGGCTTGACATACCTTTCTGTCTTGTCAGCATTGGTTTCAAGATACTGTGAAATTCTGTTGAGGCACTGGGGTGGAAAGGGAGGGGTGTGACACAGTGTGTAGCTGAGCCTGGGATCAGGGAAGTGGAGCACAGCTGTGTCAGCCAGGTTCTGCTTAAGTGGTTGCAGCTTGTGTGGTGTCCTGGAGCAGATCTGCTGCCTTGGCTCAGTTCTGCTCTCTTGCCTTACACGTTCACCACTTGGCATGGAAGCTGGGTGTCTGTTCTTTCCCAGCAGGCTGTGACAAAAACCTCTTCATCAGAGGCATAGAGGGGAAGAGCAGGAAT